GGTCAGGCATGGCTGTAAATCTTTACAGGAGCATAAAGCCTCCTCTTTCTCCCGTGGAACAGCTGGTAGTTTCGAACTGCTGACCATAAGATTAGCAGCCCAATTTGTAACCACTATGCTACCAGAGCAGTAGTTCGAAACTACCAGTGGTTCTGTGGGAGAAAGATGAGGCTTCTGCTCCTGTAAAGATTTACAACCTCAGAAACCCTATACAGGGTCATTATGACTTGGGACTCACTCCACAGCACATAACCACCACCCCCATGTAAGGAAAAGAAAGCCAAAGAGCACTATGCCATGAAAGGAAGCGGAGACAAGACTGAAATGTGGCTTCTATTATGATATATTCACTCAGCATGCTCCTGAACTCCTTGAGGAGCCAATGGGGATGGGAGTTGGCTCATTAGAGACAAAGATTTTCCAGACTTCTCTAAGCCCAGATTGGACAGGATCCATAGGCAGATCAATTTTATCAGCCTGGAAGAGGACAAAGAAGTAATATTTTTAAAAATTTCTTGAAACTTCTTTATCAATTTTTTTCCAATTAGACCAAATACTTAGGTTTTCCTAAGGGTTGAATTACCCAAAAGCATCACTTCTTCTTTAGGATTCCAACTTCCTCTGTTTAGAAAATAAGTTGTCGGAACTTTGACTGTCTAGTCTTCCATAATGATCTTTCCTAACCAACCTATTGTCTACATTAGAGATACACCTAAATGAAACAGATTGGAGAAGTAAATTTCTCACTCAACTCTCTCAATACACAGTACCCCACATCTGCAAAAAATGACCTCTTCCTCCTGTATCTCCAGAATTTATTCTATTCCAGAACTCTCCAATTTACAATTGTATCCTCTCAGGGATTTTTCATTTCTATTCTGACCCTTTTGGAATAATTCTTCAATTCTCTTAATCAATGATAGGACTTCTAGATGACTAGTTTTAACTATATTTTAAGTTGAAGATGTCTTCATAAATTAGAAATTGATAAATAAGTCCAATGTATATTGGGCTATGAACAGAAAGGTCAGTACTTCAAACCCACCAGTCACTCCCTGGAGTGACCCTATGGAGCAGTTCTACTCTGGTTTTATAGACTCAGTATGAGTCAGAATTGACTCAACAGCAGTGAGTGAGTGGATAGGTAGGGGTTGGTCTAATCGTTTCAAAGTAAGGGCCAATTTATAGACCATTAAAGGGCAATAATACAGAACATTCAAGGCAGTTTGGTGGCTCCACACAATACACACAGGACTGCAAACCACAAAGTCGTGGTTCAAGCCTGCCAGCTGCTATGAAGGAAGAAGAAGAGACTTTCTGCTCCCCCAAAGATTTAAAGCCTCAGAAACCCTATCTAGGGCCACTATGAATCAGAACTGACTGAATGGCACTTAACGTTCTTAACTCAGGGACTGCCTGTGTGGTTAAGTGCTGTAGAGTCAGTTCCCACCCATAGTGACCCTGTATAGGGGTTCTGAGGAGCAGCTGGTGAGCACGAACCACCGACTTAGCAGTTCAACACATTAACCCACAGTGCCACACCACAACTCCTGTATTCTGAAGCTTAATAAATATTTACTTAACCAATAAATGTATGGAAGGAATGGAGTAGGGAGTAAAAAGACAATTTGAAAGCAGTTGTAATAATTCAGGCAGCAAATGTTGGATTTATAGGGATCACCTCAACTTATCACTATTACAGAGGAATGAAATAAAGTGAGAATCTAGTACATTATAAACATGAAGCTCCTAGTTCAAACAGGGGCTTCCATATCCACTCACCATTCTTCCGCTCACTAAGTGGAGGCAAGTTGGGATTCCTGCCAGGGTGGAGCCCAAGAGTCAGCTCGGGCTGCAGGGAGAGCTCCTGCAGTTCATTGGCAACAGCTTCGCTCTGGGGGCTGGGGGCCGCAGATAGGGACACCAGCACTGGTTCATCATCATTTTCGCCAACCCCTCCTCCGTCCAGCCCATTCACAGCAATGACGGAAGGGGGCAGGCACACCACACTGGAGAAATCCACTTTGGCTTTCGTGATGGCAACCTAAAAATGGAAGGAGATATAAAAAGTTTAGATGTCACCATGAAGACAATATCCCACTGAGTCCTGGTGTGTGGCACTGTGGGTTAATGTGCTGGACTGCAAAGTTGGTCTGACTCACAAAGTTGGTGATTCAAGCTTACCAGCCGCTCCTTGGAAACCCTACACAAGGTCACTATGGGACACAGCCACCTTAATAGCACCTAACAACAACAACAACAAACATGCTGAATACTGATCTAAATTACATTGTTGACAAACTATCAGGATTCTTAAAAGCTTATTCTACATTAAATTAGTATCATTATTAATGAATATTCCCTGTACTCACAGAATGAACAAGACTTCAAGTCTGACACTGTCTTCATCTAGATTGTTGAAGAAGAAAAGCTCGAAAAGACAAAGTATTACAATGAAATGTGCACAGAATCAGAGTTAGAAAACCAAAAGGAAGTAAAGGCTCAGCATTTCTCAAGCTGAAAGAACTAAAGCAAAAATTCAAGCCTCCACTTGCAATAGTGAAGGATTCTATTTGTGGTGCTATAGAATAAGCATTAGACTGCTAACCACAAGGTTAGCAGTTCAAACCCACCAGACACTCCTTAGAAACTCTATACAGGGGCACTGTAAGTCAGAACTGACTTGATGGCATTAAGAACAATATGGAATGATGAGGGAAGTATCAAAAAAAAGATGGAAGGAAAGAGTCACTGTATCAAAAATATTAGTTTAGGAGGTACCATATGATTAAGAACCAATGGTACTGAAGAAGTCCAAACTATACTGAAGTCATCAGTGAAACACAAGGCTCCAGGAACTGATGGAATATAAACTGAAATGTTTCAACAAACTGATGTAGCACTGGAGGCACACGGTAGTCTCTGACAAGAAATCTGGGGAACAGCTATCTGGCCAACATATGCGAAGAGGTCCATATCTGTATCATTCCAAAGTAAGGTGACCCTACAGAATGTGGAAATCATCAAATATCATTCATATCACATGCAAGTAAAATTTTGATAAAGATAATTCAAAAACAGTTGCAGCAGCATATCCACAAGGAGCTGCCAGAAATTTAAGTCAGATTCAGAGGAGAACATAGAACAAGGAATATCACTGTTGACATTGGATAGATGCTGGCTAAAAGCAAATACCAGAAAAATGTTTACTTGTGTTTTACTGACTACGCAAAGGAATTCAACTATGCAGATTATAACAAACCACAGATAACATTGCAAAGAATGGGAATTCCAGAACACTTAATAGTGCTTATGAGAATTCTGTACATACAAACCAGGAGGCAGTCATCTGACTAAAACAAGGGGAAACTGAGTGATTTAAAATCAGGAAAGGTATGGCGTTAGCACTGTTATCTATTCAACATGCTTATTTAATCTACAGAGTCCTGGTGCATCCCTGTAGGATAAGCACTGGGCTGCTAACTGCAAGGTCAGTGGCTCAAACCCACCAGCCGCTCCTTGAAAACCCTATACAGGGTTGCTTTGAGTTACAACTGAATTGATGGTACTTAACAATAACATTTAATCTGTATGCTGAGCAAATAAGCTAGGAAGCCGGATAATATGAAGAACTTACCATTAGGATTACAGAAAGATTCATGAACAACCTGCCATATGTAGGTGACCTTGTTGTCTAAAAGTGAAGAGAACTTGAAGTACTTACTAATGAAAATCAAAAATTACATGCAGCCTTTAGTATGAATTACACTTCAACTGTACCAACAAACATCATGATATATGGAAAAAAGACTGAAGTTGTCAAGAATTTAATTTTACTTTAGACCCACAATCAACGCTCATGGAAGCAGCAGTCAAGAAATCAAATGAGGTATTGCATTGGTTAAATCTGCTGCAAAAGACCTCTTTGAAGTGTTAAAGAGCTAAGTAAGATGTCACTTTGAAGGGAAGATGTGCCTGAGCCAAGCCAAGTTATTTTCAATCACCTTATATGCATGTGAAAGCTGGACAATGAACAAGGAAGATCAAAGAACAATTAATTAATTCAAATATGATGTTGGAGAAGAATACTAAAAGTATCACAGACTACCAAAAGTGCAATCAAATCTGTCATGGAAGAAGTACAGCCAGAATGCTCCTCAGAAGTAAGAATGGAAAGACGTTCGAACATGTTATCAGAAGGGACCAGTTCCTGGGGGAGAAAATCATGCTTAGTTAAATAAGAATATCAATGAACAAATACCAACCAAGAGGGAAGAAGTATTCACATCAAAGATCAAACCTATCCCCTCAGTACACAGGGTTCATAGGGACAGGCAACTTAAGACAGTAACTACCAAAAATGTGGGTGGGAGAGCTATGAAGTGGCGGGCTTACAAAATTTTAAGAGTGAGTTTAGTTTCAGAGCGAGGGGGAGGGAAGGGTAGAATCCTCACTGAAAAAATAGAAGATGTGTAACAAAAAGGAGAGAGTAGTTCATTTTACATTATAGAAACAGAGGTCCCTAGGACCAAGGAGGAAGAACATGAGCAGAACAAGGGATCCTAACCAGAGAAGTAGTGACACCAAAAACAAGGCAGACGTGATAGCATACAGAGATAGAGCAGCTGAGGACTCTAGACCCATAGAAAGAGAAAGGCTGTGTATTTTGTATACATGCAAAAAACAACAAGGGAGTAGAGGCAAACACTGTTAACCAATGGTACATGGAAGACATTATAATCATTGTAATGAAACAAATACGAATAGTTGAGTGAAAAATCGATGTTCTGCCATGTAAACTATCACTCAAGTCACAATAGAAGCTTTTTTTTTTTTTTAATTAAAAAAAAAAGTATCCGCGAAAAAGAGGAAGACTGGTATCGAGATGGACATACACAGTGGCTGCTGCAACAATGGATTCAAACAAAACAATCATGGGGACAGCGCATAACCAGGCAGTGTTTGTTCTGCTGTGCTTATAATGTTGCTACAAGTCAGAGTTGATTTGATAGCACTTAACAACAACAGAAAGATTAAACAGGTGAAAATGTTAACTGCGATGGTAATAACTCTATATACACTGTTGTTGTTCTTGTTATTAAATGTCGTGGGTTAAGTTTGGACTCATAGGGACCATGGTTAGGGCTTCTGAGGAGCAGTTGGTTGGTTTGAACCCCCACTTTGTGGTTAGGAATCCAGTGATTATCCTACAGTGCCACATCAGGACTCTCTGTACACACTAGATTGGCCTTTATTTGCACATACACAGGTAAATATTTGTTGAACTTACTGAGCAGACAAGCATATAAAAGACAACCTGGGTACCAGGTAGGTCTCAAAGAAAATCTGGATAACTCCAAAGAGGGCTTTATAAAAGTTACAGAACCAGGTAATAATAATATTTAGATGGACAGGAACCAACAAACCTTATTCCATATAAGAACTAGAGTCAAACTGTTGTACTGGAATAATAGTTTCATATAAGAAGTTCTTTACCGAACAGCAAACATCTTTATTTCAGGTATTTGTGATACTATAACTTCGTGTGCCTTCCAATCCAGGGGCTCATCTTCTGGCACTATATCTGACAATATTCTGGAGCTATTCATACTGTGAACTCCTGATATGGCACTGTAGGATCATCAGGACTGCAAATCATAATGTTGGCAGTTCAAACCTACCAGTCACTCCATGGAAACCCTATATATAGGGTCACTATGAGTCAGAACTGACTCAATGGCGCTAACAACAACAATTCATAATGGTTCAATACTCAATGTTCTGGTGCTGACAGTGTTCCACTGTTATTGGTACAATTTTCAGTTGCTAAACATTGTTGTTGGTGTTGTTAAGTGCTGTTGAGTCGATTCCGACCCATAGCGGTCTGTATAGGGTTTCCTAGGAGCAGCTGGTGAGCATGAACCACTGACCTTGCAGTTCAAAGGACTTTGCAGTCTGATGCATTAGCCCACAGCGCCATACCAAGACTCCTGCTAAACAACAGAAGCGGCTAAACCCATTATGTAGAAAACCATAGCATCAGGGTTAGAAGAAGACTCAGTAACAGTCTGCATTTATGTAGCTGATACAACCTTGCTTGCTGAAAGTGAAGAGGACTTAAAATACTGAAGATCAAAGAGCACAGCCTTTAGTATGGATTGCATCTCAATATAAAGAAAACAAAAGTCCTCACCACTGGACCAATAAACAACATTCTTATCAATGGAGAAGAGACTGAAGTTGTCAAAGACTTCATTTTTCTTGGATCAACCATCAACACTCATGGAAGCAGCAGTCACGAAATCAAATGAAAAAAAACAAAAATAAAAAAGCCCTGAAGAAATCAAACGATGTATTTATTGCATTAGGCAAATCTGCTGCACAAGACCTTTTTAAAGTGGTGAAGAAAACAATATCAGCTTAAGGATTAAGGTGAGCCTGACCCAAGCCATGGTAGTCTCAATAACCTCATATGTATGCGAAAGCTGGACTGTGAATAAGGAAGAACGTAGAGAAGAATTGATGCTTTTGAGTAATGGTGTTGGAGGAGAATATTGAAAGTGCCATGGGCTGCCAAAAGAACTGTGTTGCAAGTGTAGCCAGAGAGCTCCCTGGAGACCAGGATGGCCAGACTTTTTATCTCATACTTCAGACATGTTGTCAGGAGGGACCAGTTACTAGAGAAGAATATCATGTTGGTAAAGTGGAGGGTCAAAGAAAAATAGGAAGCCCCTCAGCGAGATGGATTTACAAAGTGGCAGCATCAATGGGCTCAAGCGTGGCAACAATTGTTAATTGGCCCAGGACTGGGCAAGTGTTTCCTTCTATTGTGTATAGGGTCGCTATGAGTGGGTACTGACACAATAGCACCTAACAACAATAACAAACATTAGTAAGTTTGTTTGTCTGTCTTAGTCTTAGTCTGGAACCTGTCCATCATGGGTGACACTGCTGGCATTCAAAAAACTCGTAGCATAGCTTCCAGAATCACAGCACCCCACAAGCCACCATAGCACCACAAATTGACAAACTTATTTTCAATATCCTCATATGCATGTGAAAGTTGGACAATGAATGAATAAGAACTATAAAAGAATGCATGCTTTTGAGTTATGGTGTTGGAAAAGAATATTAAAAGTATCAAGGACTGCAAGAAGAACCAACAAGTCTGAGCTGGAAGAAGTGCAGCCAGAATGCTCCTTAAAGCCAGGATGGCCAGACTTCGTATCTCATACTTCGGACATATTATCAGGAGGGACCAGTCCCTGGAGAAAAGATTTCACACTAGGTAAAGTAGAGGATCAGCAAAAAAGAGGGAGACTCCCAGCAAGATGCATTCACACACTGGGAGCAGCAATGGGTTCAAGCATAGCAACAATTTACACAGAACCAAGCAGTGTTTCGCTCTGATGTAATAAGGTTGCTATGAGTTGGAACCAACTCAATGTCACCTAACAAGAACAACAACATAACTTAGTGTGGGAGAAAGTAAATGTATGTTACTTCAGGAGCCCTGGTGTGGTAAATACTGAACTAGTAAACAAAAGGAGGGCTGATGAAGCCTACCAGTCACTCTTGAAACTGACTCGACAGTATACATGTTACTTCAGAGACTGATGGAATAAAAAAGTACCATGCAATTTTATAGTATTCACCCGATTAAGAAAAAATACCACCACATAATACAAACTTCTCTACATAATAACAAAGGATACTACATGTCAGCTGTTAATATATAATGAATAGCTCTCATTTCAAATAAATTCTTGTTTCATTAAAAACTGTTTGCAAAATCTTTGCTTAAATAATATACTACCTTAACTCACATTATCCACTGAGCTTCAAATAATAAGCTTCAAATAATAAAATACTTACTGTATTTTACATGTTCATCATTTTTCAATAACTTTCCTTCTATTACTTTAAATTAAGATAACCATTAGTAGTACCTGAAATCCTGGTATGGCCCTGTAGGA